GAGACCAGCCTGGGCTACAAAGTGAGCTCAAGGCCAGCCTGAACTGCATAGTGAGACCTTGTGTCAAAAAGATGAAGAAAAAGAAGATACAGTGGTTTACAGTGGGAAAGAGGGAATGGGAAACTGCAGCAACGTCACAAACAGTACCGCAGAAGAAAACGTCTCAAGGAACAAACGAATGAAATGTGTATTGCTCTTCAATAGCTTTTCTCAAAACCTCCGCTGACCCACCAGAGAGGACTGCTGTCTTGCTGGAAGCCATTAGTTCTTGGCTCTTGCCCAGAGGCAGAGAAGTCCAGATCCTCTTTTCCCCAGTTGAAAAGTGTCTTCCCTGAAGAAGTACCGTAGTAGAGGGAGGCACCTCGGGAAGAACATAGCCCCCTCCAGGCAAAGATAAGGCGGCTGGACCACGTAGCGACTTCCTTCGCCCATCTGACCGGTCACAGCCCTCTGACTAATGTTCCCGGTCATTCCCTAGGACCCAGGCAGCGGCCCTGCCATCAAGAAGAAACGCCCCACCGGGAGGACCTGCCTCTACCGCCTGCTGCAGAGAGGCTCTGAGGGGCAGAGCAGGAAGGTAAGGGCTGCAGAGGGAGCAAGCTGTGGCTGGGGAGGGCGGGCCCATCTTCTCAGAAGCCGATACCCGAAGTGAGTGAGGAAGGATGTGCAGCGTTCGGTCCACAGAGAAGAGGGGAGGGACCCTCCCGGAAGGGACCCTCCCGGCGGACGAACGGGATTGGAAAGGCGCCGCGATGCATTCTGAGAACGGTGCATTTTAGCAACCAAAGTATAGATTTCGGAGAAGTGTGGTCAGAGTCCAAGCTGCATGTGGAGGGGCCTAAACCAACCCTTTTTGGAGGGCAATTAGCAGGTTTCAAACAGGGAAGTGGAAGGACCTGATTTGTAGCTTACTAAGCTCCCAGTGGCCCAGGACGGTGTGTGTGTGTTTGGGACGAAGGCCGGAAGGGGGTCTGTAAGAGGTGAGGGCACAGCACAAGCCAGAGAGAGCCCCCTGATGCCCGAGGCCCAAGCTCGGAGGTCCCTGGCACTGCCCTCCACGACAGACTCCACAATGTTTTGGAAAAGTCAGCGCAAGAGAGACAGGAGGCCCAGATTTAGGCTGTGCGGACGGACCCTCTTGGGAAAGGGGACGTGGGATACGCAGGGAGACCTTGGTAAGTGTCCAGTAAGAGAACACTTTGAGTGAAGGCTGGAGACAGGGAAAAAAACCTCACCCTGCCACAAGAAGGGGATCCCCAAATCCAGACAAAACAGGGGGGGTCAAGCACAGGGAGATAAATGTCACTTGTGCCTGTTTTGTTTTTTTTTTTCCTTAAACAAAGCAACTGCATTCAGTGGTCCCTCAGGAAGGCCAGTCATTTCCTGAGGAGATATCAGCCCAGCCCAGGCCTCATTGTTCTGGATTTTCCAGCAATGGCCGCCATTACCTGACCAACTGCGACACTAGGTCTCTCTGGGGCGCCCGGAGCCGGTCCCAAGTTGTCCTGCTTTCACTGCGCAGGTTTCTCACTGGCGGCTCGAGGAAAGTGTTTTCGATCCCCAAGGCATGGCCCAGAGGCAGCACTGACTGTTCCAGGCAGCCTTTGCTTCCAGGATGCGGCCGGTGTGGGACCAGAGGAGCACGATGCGGCTGGGAGCCCTGTTGACGCTGCTGCTCTGTGAGTTGTCACTGTCCCCGCCGCCTTTTACCTTCCCCAGCACTGAGCTTCTGAACCAACAGATCTCTTCTGTCTCTTCCAGGTTCAGGCCTTGGGAGTCAGGAGAACTGTAAGTTACGACGTTTCTACTACCTTCCTCCTCCTCGCCTGCTCTGACCCCTTAGACTTGTGCCAGACGGCTTGGGGTTGATTTTTATCAAAGTAGAGGAGAATACTCCCATGGGAAACTAGAGCTTGTCCCGTTTCGTAGTCCTCCTTAGAAGAGCTTGGAACAATACTTGTTCTAAGCCACGTTCAATTCAGTGCATTTTATTTTATTTTATTTTTTTTCCGGTGCAATTTAGAAGCAGCATTCCAAGTATTTAGAAAGGCCTTTTAGAATCTGCTGTTTTCTAGGCCCTGGTGGACTGCTTTTTGTTTTAACTGGGAAGGTGAGAAAGAAGTTAGTGATTCCATAATCTACTTGTGGTTGTCCTACCATGAACTGTTTGTTTCTCATATGCTGCCTCATCTCCGATTGCTAACTTTTATTTCTGGGGAGCAGAGAGGATTGAACTCAGGGCTTTAGCACTGAGCTGCATCTCCAATCCCTTTTCAATTCTTTGAGACAAGATCTTGCTATATTGCTAAGTTGCCGAGGCTGTACTCCAACGCCTCATTTTTCCTAGCCTCATAGAGTACTAGGATGCTAGGCGTATCCGCCGCTATGCCCAGTGTTTATTTTGTTTTTGTTGTTGTTTTATTTGTGAGTCAGGGTCTCACTGTGTAGTTCAGGCTGGTCTTGAGCTCATTATGTGGCCCAGGCTGGCCTTAAACTCACAGCAAGCCTGCGTCAGCCTCCCAAGTGCTGGGATTACAGGCATGTGCTACCATGCCTAGACTATTTTTGGTTTTGCTTGGTTTGGTTCGGTTCGGTTTGGTTTGGTTTTCTGAGACAAGGTCTCACTATGCAGTTCAGGCTGGCCTTGAGCTCACTTTGTAGCCCAGGCTGGCCTCAAACTCACAGTGATCTTCCTGCCTCAGCCTCCCGAGTGCTGGGATTACAGGCATGAGCCACCACCCCGGCTCCTATTTTGTTTTTAAACCTGTCTTTTGTTTTCTTATTTCCTCCCAACTGTTTTAAGTAACAAATCAATTTGTCATATGCATGAAAACAGAACAACGTTGAAGTTGGTATTACAACTCTTTCTCTCCGAAATGATTTTTACATCCTCAGAACCTTGCGCTTGCTAGACAGGCATTTGTGCCACGGGGCTATATTCCCGGCCCTGAAATGATTTTTAAAAGGTACCACATTGTCATTTTCCACCCACCTATGAGGCTACAGTTGTATCCATACTAGTCTGTGCTCCCACACAGGAAGAGGGTGCTGCCCGTCTAAACCTGATTTATTGTCTGCTTTAGAGCTCAATGAGTATGAACTTTCATCTTGATCTATCTTTCTTACCCCACACCCCGGAACCCCGGTACCGGGAATCGAACTCACAACCTCTTGCTTGCCAGGCAGGCGCTGTGCCACTGAGCTAAATCCCCAGACCCTAAACTTTCATCTGAGATAAGAGGGTTTTGCTCTGCTTTATCTGCGATTGCTCAAAACGGGGGCTCAGCTGGGTGTGGGGGTGGTGACTGGAAGAAGAGACCAGACAACAGATCCCCTTAGCAGAAGTCCCTTCGCCGGCCGAGAGTAGGGTCAGCTGGGGTGCAGGCAAATGGTGCAGCTCTTGGGAGAAGTACGCGTGCGCGGAGGATCCTGGGTTGAGTTGAGGCGGGAGCCGAGGCCCCAGGAAGCGCAGGACCGGGGTGGCTGCCAGTGTGGCTCGCCATCCGCAGGGGTCCCCGCTCAAATGTCCACGTGCCTCCTTGGGGACAGGACTCCCTGGCAGCCTGCGGAGGCAGGAGGTCCATTATCACCACTTGTGGGCTCACCGCTCGATCCCACAAGCCTGACGTGACTGACGTGTCCATGCAAGGGCCATCAGCACCAGGATCTCCATTATCCAAATGCTGACCGACCGCCCCGGGGCCGAGGCCTGGCTCGTGTCTTTAAGACGGTTTCCATTCTCCCCCGTAGAATGGGGTAGGAACAGAATCCAGGGCGTGGAGTGGGTTGCGTAACAGAAGGGAGCTCTCCTGCCCTGAGGAGATGCGTAAATAAATGCACTGTCTGGACCACCTTTGCAGTCACACTAGTTCCAGTCCCTCCCTGAGGTCCACTTCAGACGCACACCCTGCTCTCGTCCAGACCCTGCCCTGAGGACCGGGCCGGGCCCTGCTTTGCAAACACCCAAGGGGCCCGGGCTCCTACTCCCTGGCTCCCCACGTGTTCCCCAGCGCCGCCCTTCTCCTGCTCGCCCGCCAATGCCGAGTCGGCCGCTTACTCCCTCCTCGGGGTCCTGGGGCGGCTCTCTGACGCTTGCCCAGGGCCGGCTTCGTTTTACTCGCAGGGCGCTGAGATCCAGGCCACAGGCCCTGCGCAGGGTCAGCACTAGGGCTGGCAGAACCGGGCTGGCATCGGGCGGTGGCCGCGGGCCACTGTGCGCCTCGGCCCTGCCCGCTCCTGGCTGGAGCCTCGTGGGCCCCTCTGCCTCCACCCAGCGGCAGCCCGCCTCGCTGCCTCTCAGGAGATGACTTCAGCTCCATCTTCACCTAGAAAACAGTCTGGAGGGAACTCCCTCGCTTCCTGCCTGGCCCGGGCTGCAGCCTTATCTGCCTCCCCACCCATCCTCCCGCTTCCCTCCGGGCCTCGGAGCCGTGCACGCCTCTCCCGGCTGATGGGCCCTGCTCCACCTGGGCCGGAGCCTGTCCCTCCCTCACCCCAGGACCTCTCCTCCCTACTGATTCGGTCCCCTCGCTTTGAGGGTCTGTCCTCACGCCTGGCTTTTTTCCCTGTCTACAAACCAAGTGGCAACGTGCTTTTTAGAAAAAAGAATCCAGCCCTGGGCAGATGTTTTCCTGGGTCTGAACTCACCCCCAGTCTCCACAGGCTCCGGGTCTCGGCCTGCTCTCCTGTCCCACCTCCACTCCCGCCTCCCCCTCCTGAGCCTCCGGCTGGGCCTCCTCCATTTCCTCCAGGCCCCCCTCACCCAGCCGCACCCCTGGGACTTGTCCTCCTCCCTCATCTTCTTCTGGCTTTCTCCCTCTTTCTTGGTGACACTCGTATCCTCCTGGGGGTGGGACCCTACTCCAGGAGTCCTGTCTTCCCCGTATTTGACCTCCATATCCTACCAAATAAGTCTTCTAAAAATTGTAGAGTTGGGCATGGTAGTGCGTGGCTGAGATCCCAGCACTCAGGAAGCTGAGGCAGGAGGATGGACAGTTCCAGGCCAGCCTGGGCAATGTAGTGAATTCCAGCCCAGGACTACAGAGTGAGACCCTGTCCCTGAGTCAAACAAATGAACAAAGTGGTGAAATACACATAAGGTAAAATGCATGCTAGTGACATTTAGGATATTCGTGTTGGCAAAATCAACACTGTCTAGTTCTAGAGTATTCTTGTCAGCCCCCAAAACAGATCCTCCCACGTCCCTCAAAAGTCTCTCTGCCCCTTTACTTTCACCTGAACCATCCCAGGCTGTTGACCAGCCTCAGGGATTGTGCCACAGGATCTTTCTATAACTCTGACCTCGGGGGCTGGGGATTTAGCTCAGCGGCACAGCGCCTGCCTGGCAAGCGCGAGGTTGTGAGTTCAATTCCCGGTACCGGAAAAAAAACAAACAAAAAAACTAAAACTCTAACCTCATCTGCCCTGCTGCTCGTGAAGAGGTCACTGCCTGGCCTTCCCTCCTGGCATGGCTGACGTGGCCTGCCCAGCCCCTCCGGCCCCAGGCTGTGCTTCCTGTCACCGGCTGCGCCCAGAATGCACTGACTTCCCACACCCTGGCGCCTGGCGTGTGCTGTCCTCCTGGAGTGCCCACGCCTGCCTTTGCCCAAGGCTCAGCCCTTCAGACTCTGGGGCTCTCCTGGGCGCTCCTTCCTCTCCGGGTGGCTGACATCACGGAACCCCCGCTAGCTGGGCGCCCACCCCCTGCCCTGCCTTAGACAGCAGGGATGGTTCCTGCACCCCAGACGCCCAGCACCTGGCACGGGTGTTTGGTGGATGTGTCACGGGGAGGAACTTGAAGCGAACTTGGCGGTGGGGGAGATTTCACGTGAGATGAGTCTGTGTGTTGTCTGCGGCGCACACAAGTTCACCAGGGACTTAGTGACAATAGCGGGTGGCCCTTTCCCTCCCCCACGCCTCTCTGAGTCATTTCCAGGTCGAGGGCCAGGCTGAGTCAGGACGCTTTCTCTTTCCGGGGAGCATCGTCCTCTGGTGACGGGCCGCCTTGAGGTCCAGGGAAGCTGGCGCCGTCATTTCAGTATGTGAGACTGGTATTGTGGTGTCCCCGAGTGTCTTATCTGTGCTGTGATGACTTTGTGACTTTGGATCCTTCTCCATCAGCTGGTATCTGCCCAGGCTGAAAAGATTTGATGTCACAGCTGAGCCAGGCTGAACTACATAGGAAGACCCTGTCTCAAAAAACAACAACAAACATGATGTGACTTTTTATATTGTGAATGATTTTTATTAGTGCCTATTAGCTTCACAAATAATGGTTTTCAACGTGGTACTTTTCCCTTTTTTTTTTTTTTTTTGGCAGTGCTAGAGAATGAACCCAAGGCCTTCACACTGAGCTACACCCCCGAGAGCCCTTTTTAAAAATGTTATACTTTGGGAAAAAATTTTTAAAAATAGCATAAAAATTTTATGCTTTGGGACAGTCTCATTAGATTGCCAAATTTCCCGGGCTGGACTGGACCTTGCAGTCCTGCCGCCTCAGCCTCCCAGAGGACGGAGATTACAGGTGTGCGCCTCCACGTCCATTTTATTTTATTTTACTTTATTTTATTTTAATTTTTTGTCTTTTTGAGACAGGGTCTCGCTGTGCAGTTCAGGCTGGCCTTGAGCTCACTTTGTAGCCCAGGCTGGTATCGAACTTGCAACGATCCTCCTGCCTCAGCCTCCCGAGTGCTGGGATTACAGGCATGCGCCACCACGCCCAACATTTGTACTTATTTTGAGAAGTGACTGGTTCAGTTTATTCGCCCTGATCTGACCTCTTTAGGCTA